TATTGCAATAATGTATAATACATTATTGTTAGAAAGTATAATTTCATGGGCCTTGAATTATCGCTGGGGTCAAGCTTTAGAGGTGCGGGGAAGTGTCAAGGATGGAATTATTCGATATATAAAATAAATATATTTAATATTAATATATTTCGCAAATTAAGCATTTATTGTTAACTGTTATTCTCATTGTATTTGCATTCAGAGCTTTGTTGTCGGTTAAACACGTATTTCTCCACTTACAAATTAAATTTATAAATAAATCTTTTAAAAACGGTTATTGAATCCAATAAGCGTTATGTCAAAGACAGGCTTTAGAAAAATCGGAGAACGTTATTAGGGATGAGATTATCTACAACTTTTATCTAAAAACTTTTTGTATAAAATAATTAAAGTTCATTGGCATTTACGCAACAAAAAGTAAAGTTTTAAAAAATCAAAGTTATAAGCATAATTGGCAAATTGCGGAAAATATTTCCTTTTGATACTACGAATTTATAAAATCATCAAATCAGCACTAACGCGGTCATCGCACCGGTCATCGCACCTGATAGACCAATAATGCTGATTCGATGATTCGACGTAACGAACCAATAAATACAAATGTCACCTGTTGGGGACACAGTCGACAGTCCACAGTCGATAGTCGATAATAAGTTCGATATGTCGTCGCGGTCGAGATTCCGGCATTGGCGTTACACTACCCTTGACACTACCCCCGATGCTTCAGTGATGATGTTCGTCCATAAATATAATATGTAAGTACACATTTAGTTTTATAATTATTTTATTATTCGTAGATTAATTAAATTGATTATTAAGTTAAATTGAAGTATTTATTATTTGCTATGCCCCTAGTCATAACCCACAAAATGGGCCGTGACAATATTCTTCTAGAATATTGTGTCTACAACCAAACCTCTGAACAAAACCAATTGTAGAATAAATAATATAAAATAAGCTCAGAACAGCCCAATAAATCCGTAAAATTTCAAATCAATTTCAAAAATGTGAATTGAAACGCCAAACAAAAACTGTCAAAAAATGGGAGGTTATGATGCCAATTGCGCCCTCTAATGCATGAATATATTATAAATAATATTCTGTCTAGACTCCTTCCTTTAGTTCTTTTTATTCAAACTTGTATCATAAAATATGGAAATGTCAGTATTTTTTAAGATTTTTATGACATCAGTGATGAACAACTGGCATTTGAAAACATTTTGTGACCCATTTCCTAAGCTTGACATTTCCTGAATGTTTTTTATTTACTTTGATATCTGGGCTCTGATCAAAAGTAGATATTGATAAATTTAATCATGTTATGAACTGAATTATTCGATTGGTAGTTTCTAATGGCGCTTTAAATGCGGAAGGATTAATACGTGAGGTTCCGCAACAGTAACCTACTCTCAAATCGGAGAAAACTTCTTGCAAATGCACGACCCACCCTTTTTTTCAATAAGGGGCTGATCTGTACCGGAAACCCTGCAACCAATGAGGCGTATTGTGGTGTATTCCTAAGTTTCCTTTCTATGTCTACACCTATTCTTATGTCCCTGTACCCTGCACCAACTTATGCAGGTCCTCGATAAGATGAGAGCATAGTTCCTCCGGTTCTAACCTTGCTTTCCCAAATAAAAATTGTCGCTTGCGATCCAAAGTCACTCATGACATATTATGTGCTCCGCTGTTTCAGGATCTTTATCGCAGAGTCTGCAGCAAAGATTTCCTTGATAGAGGTTGAGCTTGTTCAGGTAACACTTGACAGTCATATGTCCCGTCAAAAGACCTTTTGTAATCCGCGCTTTATTGCTGCTAAGCATTAGAAGTTCCTTTGTGGTTTTAGAGCTAGGTCGTTGGATAAAGGCTTTGCTGAGCTATTTCCAAAACGTGGCGGTCCCTGCCTGTTTCTCCAGTGGACATTCTGCTGTTCCCTGATGCAGAGTTTTAGTGCACTACGAGCCACACATTTGGGTATTCCCAGTACTTCTGGACCAAGATAGGTACATACCCTGACGTGGCTCGTTGTGTTTACTATTTTTTCAATGTCGTCGGAATAAGAGCGTTGGATAGGCTTGCATCTTCCTGGCATATTAATCCAATCAAACACGCGTTTACGATTTGTTACGCCAGATGATTAAGATTATTTTTACGCAGATGATTAAGATTATTATTGGAACTTTAGTTTCGGAGATATTCATTTAATCGGACCTTTTTAAAAAAAATAATTTTATTTTTCAGAAACTATTAGAGACAGAGTTTACCAAAAATACTTTTTATAACTACTAGTGGGTAAATGAATTTCTAGATATATTACGAATTTTTTTGGAACTTTAGTTTCGGAGATATTCATTTAATCGGACATTTTAAAAAAAAAATAATTTTATTTTTCAGAAACTATTAGAGACAGAGTTTACCAAAAATGCTTTTTATAACTACTAGTGAGTAAATGAATTTCTAGATATATTACGAATTTTTTAGATATAATCGAACCTAAAATATCATGGTCTATGATATTATATAGATTTAATCGAACCTAAAATCGGAAAAAAAAATCCATAATTGAAAATCTCAAGGAGACATCAGCACATTTTAAGACATCACTTGAGTCTGATATTTCCGAATATTTTATTTTTAATTTATTTTGGGATCTTGTGATATCTGGACTTTCATAACAGGGGGATACTGGTATATTTAATATTATTTGAACAGAATTAGTGAGTTGGTATTTGTTAATAGCACTTTAAATACGGAAAGATACAAACGTGATGTTGTAGAACAGTTTGTCATATCGGATTGAAGAAAACTTTTTGCGTGACTTCTTCTGTCTACTACTTTTTGAATGTTGCCGGACTACGACGCTGGAGGAAGAACTGGAGATGCAGGCCAATCCTGCATCTCCAATTCTTCCTCCAATCGAACACTTTACGACATTTTAGGCAGATGATTAATATCTAGAATTCCCGTATCTCAAAATCCCCGAAGAATCTGACCAAAGTAGCGATTGGTAATGTGAAAACTTATTTCTGTCCTTATATATTCCTGTAAACGACATAAAACAGAATCGTTTAAAAATAGCCATAAGTCGTATGTATTCGTGAAGAATCACGCTACAATTCGTAGAAAAAACGAAATTGATGTTCAACTTTGTGTAAATTTTGTCCATTTTCTAATTGTATCGGTGTGTGTGTAGTTTTGTGTGGGTGCATAATGGTCATTTTAATTATTTACTTGATTATTTCCATCAGATCAAACTACACAAATTGTTTTGACGATTAACAGTAATGATAATCACGGTCTTCCACTATTTCAGACTAATTTCAGGAACTATAAATCAAATGAAATTGGTGTTCGTGATTAAATCATTAGATCAGTAGAATATGAAATTGATCTAACGAGGATGGAGATTATTGCTGTTGTAAGTGTAATTTTAGTATTTTTAGCAAAAGCTAATTTAACTTTCATGTGTGGGCGCAAGGACCTATGGTCAAAGCAGAGAAAGTCGGTAAATCAAATAGTTGATCAAGGACAATCGTTAGAAGTTTTAGGCGAAAATTGATTAAGTACAGAAGACGTGAAAACAAAATTTTATATAAAAAATATAAGAAAAGAAAAAATACAATTATATTGCCGAGGAAAAGTTATGAAACATCGTCTACACTATGCGGAGAACTCTTCGAAGCAGATCAAGGTCGCATTTTGTCGCCCAACTTTGTCGCATTTCGGTTTATTTCCTGTTGTCTTGGCCCACTTCGGTTGGCTTCGACTTACTTTCGATTCTTAAAAGCGCCTGAAAACTTCTAGTGAGGAGGACGTGTTTTTTTTGGCGTTTCCTGTTGCCTTGTTCAATTTTGTTTCGTTTTGAACTATTTCCAAAACGTAGCGGTATCTGTATCCGAGACAAAGGATTTTTTTTCAAAAATTTCAGTGAAATAAGTAAATCTAGACGTTTGGTTTGGACTGTTTGAGCACGCGTTTATAATATGTAGAGTAGATTATTTAAGAACAAAACTTTTTACTCAATCTGCAGGAGCATAATTACAATAAATACAATTAATATAATGAATTAGTATATAAAATTGTATATGTGATGTTTGTTTACGCGTCCTTAATTGATTAATGTAACAGTAGTATTGCTTGATGAGTAATACTGGCAACATCATCAATGGTTCGATATAAATCCATTCAAAAATGAGAGATAATTAGACGATTTTTTAAATAGTTTAACACCGTGGATTATAACCTATAAAAGGCGGACCACCAGAACAGTTAGTCGCTGCGTATTGCTCTGCAGTTTCACGATTTTAAGTTTTGGAAATATTTTTTTTAACTATATTGTAATTAATAATGTTAGACAATGATAAAAACTAAATATTCTTGTGTAACTTTAGAGGAATAGCCAATTTAATGCAATCTTAGTTACTACAATCAGTAACTGTTTTCTAAATGCACTGTTTTTGATTTTTTATATAGTGATATTACATTACACTCCGTTACAAATTAATTATAATTATTGATACTCCATGTTTACTTATTTTTCTGAAGCCACAACAACGTTTGACCTTGATTGATTCGTGCTCTTTCACAAAATAGTACGATAAATATAAGCACGTGTTATAAAAATTAGGTTCCACGTTTCAAAAAGTTGATCAAAGTTTTTTAGAGAATTGATCACCAATCACGGCGCGTATCGATCCATTTCAGGAAACGTGGGAACTAATTTTTATAACGGGCTTATATTTGACTTTACTTCTGAAAGTACTTCCAGAAATGTTTTGCGAAATGTATCACGAAATATTTCCAGAAGTATTTTGTAAAACATTTCGGGGATAGTGTAGAGGCTGTTTAAGAACTCAATTGGCCTTGGTCTTGAACCTCTCGACTTAAAGAATCATGTTGAGTCCTAAAGCAGTAAATATATTTAGGCAAACTTCTACACTTATTCTGCATATGCGAAAAGGTTTCTATCATCCAAAATAACAAAATTTTATTCTTTCCAGATTTCCGACATAGTAGTCGGTCAAGAACCGAACGTATCCGCAAAAGACTACCTGCTGCGATGGGCCAAGCGCACCACCCACAAGTACCCCGGCGTGCAAGTGCAGGACTTCACCAAGTCCTGGAGGGACGGGCTGGCCTTCAGCTCGATCCTCCACAGGAACAGGCCCGATTTGATCGATTGGAGTCGCGCGCGCAGTCAAAGGCCCAGAGAACGGTTGGAGACTGTGTTCTTCGTGGCCGAGAAGGAGTACGGAGTCACCAGGCTCTTGGATCCAGAAGGTAATGGTCTATTTCTGTGTTTCGCTAACTTTTTTTGAATTTTATTTTTCTAGTCCTTACCGTTTCTTCGAAATTTTGAAAAAACAATTTTGTTTATTTATTTCACCCCTTCTCTGGGGTTAATTTAAAAAAATCTTTCACAATTCATTTTTAGCTCTTTCAAAGTAACTTATATCAAAAATTGAAGGCCTATTTTCTTGGACTACAATTAATTGAATACCGTCAATCAATCCTAATTTATATTATACCGGGTGTTGCATCGTCGAGCGGGACATAGGAAATCCCATGTAAATTTTAATGGGGTCAATTATTGGCTTCCCTAATTATTTTAGAGAATAATTCTATTTAAGTTTATTGAAGAGCACTAAAACCCACATTCAAAAGAATAACTTTAGATATATGGGCAACGGCCCAGCTACGTCGAAACACCGGTTCCCATTAGAACACCGAAGTTAAGCGACGTAAGGCGATGCTAGTGGATGGACGGGTGACCGGTTCGAAACTTTGCATCGTGCTGTTGTCCAAAAGGGAAAAGTGTAAAATCTATTGATACACACTGCTCATTCACGCCGGTTCAAGGCCGGATGAGATCGGATATCTCGTGAGTAAGAGTTAATTTAGACACTTCCTAAGTCGGTAGGCCATTGACCATGATATGGCCGAGGACCGCGGTTCGGATTCCGCGTAAACAAGTAGGTCCCGTCCAGTTTAGCCATTGCAGCAGAAAGGAGACGTTAACTTGAACCTCAAAAAAAAAACTTTAGATATTTTTGATTAGCCCGTTTACGAGTTATCGCCGATTTCTTTTTAAATATTTCTCCTTTCTTATGGCCCTGTATTTATTTATGAGCACCAGTCAAGGTAAAAGATAACCGTCAAATGAAGTTTTCAGTTATTGAATATTGTAATAGTACTATAATTAACCTTGCAATTTATTACTTTATTTTACTTTAATTCATATTAATTTATATGTATAAATACATCTTTAAGATTCCCGATGTAGGAATGAGTTTTCAATAATAATAAAGCACTATATAGGTAAATTTCTGAAATGACAACTTCATTTGACAGTTATCTTTTACCTTGACTGGTGCTCATAAGTAAATACAGAGCCATAAGAAAGGAGAAATATTTAAAAAGAAATCGGCGATAACTCGTAAACGAGCTAATCAAAAATATCTAAAGTTATTCTTTTGAATGTGGGTTTTAGTGCTCTTCAATAAACTTAAATAGAACAGTATTTACATGGGATTTCCTATATTTCCAATTAAAATTTACATGGGATTTCCTATGTCCCGTCCGACGATGCAACACCCGGTATACTAACATACAAATCTCGTTTTTTATCTGAAAAAAATCAAAAAGTTATAGGGGTGAGTTAAATGACTTGGTTTAATAAGCGATTCTGGATAGGGGGAAGCAGGCCTCTTTCGTCATTAACATCATCAGCCAATCAATGGTTTTGAATACCCACATACCATGTTAGCCATGTGAGATTGAGTTTCTAACTGGCTAGTTGTTATCTATATTGCCATGAGTTGTTTTCAGTTATATCGACTATTTTTTTTTAATTTTTTTTTTCACTTTATTATAATTTTTTTTTACTTTTATTAATTTTTTATTATAATTTTAGATCTAATTTTAATTATGACTTTACTGGTCTAATCGAAGCTATCTACCGTATGATAAAAAAAAACGGCATCAAAAAATACGGCGGCAGGCGTTTTGTTTTGATATGATGGAAAGAGCAAACACGGATAGGGAATTTTTAAAAAACATATGTTTCACTGACGAATGCACGTTTACCTTCTTTAATGAACCCAATGTTCAAAATTATCGATATTGGAACAAAGAAAACCAACACAGGTTTGTCGAAACAAGGACGCAATATCCACAGAAAATAAATGTTTGTGTAGGGATATTCGGACACAATATTATCGGGCCATTATTTCTTAAGTGAAATTTAAATGCCGAATGCAATAGAATTTCATTTTACCAACTAGCGAATGTAAGAAGAGAATTTTATGATCGCCTGGGTTATTGTCTAGCAGTCGATGGAGGAATATTTGAACATCTTAAATCCTAAAGTTCTAACAATTTAATAGTACCTAAATTAATAAGTTATTGAATATTCTAATAATACTATAATTAACCTTGTAACTGATTACTTTATTTTACTTTAATTCATATTAATTTGTATTTATAAATACATCTTTAAGATTTCCGATGTAGGAATGAGTTTTCAATAATAATAAAGCACTAAATAGGAAAATTTGTAAAATGACAACTTTATTTGATAGTTCTTTTACCTTGACTGGTGCTCATAAGTAAATACAGGGCCATAAGAAAGGAGAAATATTTAAAAAGAAATCGGCGATAACTCGTAAACGGACTAATCAAAAATATCTAAAGTTATTCTTTTGAATGTGGGTTTTAGTGCTCTTCAATAAACCTAAATAGAATTATTCTCTAAAATAATTAGGGAAGCCAATAATTGACCCCATTAAAATTTACATGGAATTTTCTATGTCCCGCTCGACGATGCAACTCCCGGTATTTATTTATATTAATATGTCAGCTTTTGAAAAATATTTTTTTTTTGCGTCAAAAATATGCGCGGTGGAGTTTTCTACAATACACAAAAAATGTAGTAAATACTAGAAGGACCACTTTACGAAAAAAAATCGGTGGTTGGGTTTTCACCCTTCCCGTACTTATTCTTTATTTTTGCGAAAGTAAAATGTTATAGCACTCTGTTATAATCAAAATTTATTTTTATTTAAGTTTATTCATTTAATCAAAATAAGTTCATTGTGTCCCATGAACTTATTTTGATTAAAAATATACGTAGTAATACGGAATGTCCACGAAATATTGGGACACCCTGTATATTACATTAGATTTTTGAGGTGGCTATTATCCTGTTGTGCTGCGACCTTTTCAGACCTATTGTATTCTCTTTTGATATTTAGGCATTCTCCAGTCCTATCCTTTTCAAGTGCTTCTAATAACTTGGAAACTGGAGGGCTCAGTTTCCATATAGCTTTTTGGCAATCGCACATAAAATATTTTTTGTCGTTTATCAGATTCACAAAATCTGCGTATGGCTTTGTCCATCAGTCCCATCAGCTTTAGATGATTGTAGATACTATAAAGCTTGCGATAAAGCTTTATTAGTGGACTCGCTACATCTTTGAAAAATTTTCTGTCTGCTGATCAGGCCTACTAATGAAATGTTCATTTCATTGTCCTAGTGAAGTTCTCAACCAATAAAAGATTTGTCGGCCACCTACTTGTACCAGATAGGTATCAAAATACATCACATACTAATATTCCTATTTCATTCAAGAAATTTAAACCCTGTTCCACTTTTACGAAAACTGATACTAACATATTATTTACAACTAATTCTTTTATAGAAAGCCTAAGTGACAGTAACTTTCAATTGATAATTTACATCTCATAAGGAAGAACTTAAACTGTATATATTCTAATTAGGTTATTATTAAAAAAAACCTCTAAGTCTGTATTAGTTATTTCAAAAATATCTTCTGTAACAAAACAAAGGATTCACGGCTGCCTGAGTATCCTAACGATTATTGTTATATAGCCTTGAGTCCAGATGTACACCGTATTCTACCGTTAAAGTTAATTTTTCTAATTCGTAGAATCTGATGATATGTCATTATCAAAAAATGTCCGCCAATTTAGGACGTATTTTTTATGGTTTCGAATCCTTGCCGTCCAATATAAAAAAATAATGGTTTTGTGTTATTTTTAATTTGATTTTGTCAAGCGGAGGCAATCAACGATATACGATATGAATTAATAATAAGTCGTTTCCTCTATGAACGCACACATTATTCTATTTGTGTCTTTGTCAGGGTTGGGTTTGTAATAAGTAGAAAACAAGTTTCTTGCAGTATACGTATATAATAAAATTATATAAGGATTCTTGCCACTTAACTGCTTATATAGAAGTTTAATTCTACGCTGTGTTTGTCGTAATGTGGATCAACCTGCTCTCACTACCGGTTTAGGAGCCCTACTCCATCATCAGGTGAGCTTGGGCAGATCCACAAAATGACAACCACAGCGCAGATATAGTTAATTCCGACTTGTCGGAATATGTCGGTTTGTTGAAACTTGTCGGAATGTGTCATTTTGTAGATCTGCCCAAGCTCACCTGATGATGGAGTAGAGCTCCGAAACTGGTAGTTAGAGCACGTTGATCCCCATTGTGACAAACACAGCGTAGAATTAAATTTCTATATAAGCAGTTAAGTGGCAAGAATCCTTATATAATTTTATTATATACCTATACTGCAAGAAAAAGCCTTTTACCATCCTTTTACTATCGATAGTTGCGCCCCGGTGGTACGAAAGTACTACCATTGCACGCAGGCCGCTATCTCCCGTTCGGGACTTAATATCTAACCGACACATTCCGACTAGTTGGAATTAACTATCTATGCGCTGGTGGTTGTCATTTTGTGGATCTGCCCAAGCTCACCTGATGATGGAGTAGGGCTCCGAAACCGGTAGTGAGAGCAGGTTGATCCACATTATGACAAACACAGCGTAGAATTAAATTTTTATATAAGCAGTTAAGTGGCAAGAATCCTTATATAATTTTATTATAGTTTGTATTACAAACTTTGTAATAAGTTGACAGATGATCTTCCATTTATTAGCAATTTGATTTTTCAATATTCTGTTTCCTATAATACATGCTAAGCCACAATGATAATGCTATATTTTTTCTGTGGACACCTTTAAGGTTAAACTAGGTATTTTGAGTCTCCAACCGTCTTATTTTTCAGAGGACAATCTTCTTTTTGACCGTATGATTTTTATTTTGACCTCTTTTCTCTCACGTATTGTAAAAGTCCTCTTTTTTACAAACCAAATTCTACAAGCAATAAAAAAAAGATTCGTCTTTCCACAATGCTATTATTTTGGCAACAATGTGTCTTTTGCTACTTCCACTCTTTAATACC